CTTTTCTGCCTGGACTGGCCAATCTTGCCAAGCAAAGAGCAATCATTCCATATCCTTCTGCAGGAAACAAAGCTTTCTCTTGCTGTCCTTGCCCCAGAAAATTCCAATTTATTTCCTTCCTGGTAGTAATGGGAAGAAATCACACCAAGCCTTAATTAATCCCAATGACTTCTCACAGGCATACATACATGCACTTTGGTTTGGCATTCCACCTTCATGAAGCAGTACTTCTACCCATCCAGGAAAGCAGAAAGGAGCTCTGGTGTGGCGCTGCAGAGTAATACACTGGACCGCAAGATTGGTGGTTCAAATCCACCACCCACTCCTCAGAAACCCTACACAGGGTCGCTTTGGGTCAAAATTGACACAATGACACAACAACAGGAAAGGAGAAAATATGGGCACATAGCCTCTGTATTGTGAGGAGCATTTCCCTGTTAGCTGGACGTCTGGGCTCTGAGAGATGCGAGCCCTAAGCCCATTTTAGCCACCAACAAGCTGTTGACCCAGCCCCTCAGGGTTTCCATTTTCTCAACTGTAAGCAGGACCCCTGTGATCACTCAAGAGTTCTAACAGCCTCTGTTTTTGTTTTTTTTTTTAACAATTATCTGAAAATTGAGCAGACTAAAGCTACTGAGTACATTGGAATATTTTACCTTCAGGGAGGAAAAAAGAGTAATTAGAGCAAGTGCTTCTAAAACTCATGCCTTAAACTCCTTAGTGGAAAAGTGTAAAATGACACCCACTACTCCTCCCACAGCACTCTTGAGTTCTCATCACACACCATTCTCACAGTTAAGGAGTTTATTAGGAAAGTTAAAAAGTTACAATTCAGGGTCAGAAATGTTCTGGGTGCAGTCTTCTAGTAAGACAACTTCTATGTTGTGCCCACAGGCAGCCTCTATCTGTCTTTCAGGACCTTGGCCTGGCCTCTGCCCTGCTTTGGCAATGTTACAAAGCTCTCTTAGGGCTGTTGATACACAGGGTACAACACTCAGCTCTAGCTCCCCCCATTAATGTGCTTGGAGGCACCCCACTCTCTGCAAGCACACCTCTGGCCCAAAGCCACTCAGCTTTACTTTTCCCACGGGCTGGGAAGCCTAATGCGCGCCCTCTTTTGCTCTGGCTTTTGGTTCAGCTGCTGCTGCTCTGCCCTGCCTCTGTGTCATAGCTTTTTGTCCCAGTGCCAAGGAGGTTTGATGTGAAGGGATCTGAGGGTCCAAAGGACATAATCCACCCCTGACTCCTCTTCTTTGATAGTAGTGAGATCCCTGTTGGTGCGTCTGAGATAGCTCATTTTATACCCACACTAGACTTCCACGATTTTACAATTAAATTAACCCTATTAACAGTTAATTCACAACTGAATCATATCATCCTATCAGTATCTTCTCCCACTTTCTCTTACCCAGACCAGTTAAGAAAACGTCGTTTGGTGAGAGTTGACAGACAAGAGACCTTAAATAATTCACTGCACCACAAAAGACTATTTCTGTCCGAGCATCTCCAGGAACTAGTTAATATCTTCTTACTGGTAAATTAGGTAGAGGAAATGTCCGCCTCCTGCTTACCCTGGGGGCCCCATTTGCTTCCTCCACTTACAGTATGACAAATTAGGGAAATCAACTAAGTGATCTACTCCTGTCTTTTTATTTGAGAAGCTGGAGGTCTCCTGGGTTGCGCTTTCCATCCACTGTTGCATTTTGCTATAGATTTACTCACTCTGCCTTTGCTGTTCTCACTGCCATGTCTTTGTATTGTATTGAAATAAAAAATTACCACAGCTCATGTATAGTTTTTTTTTTATTAGCCATCTGGGATGTGGTTTCGAGCTAGATAGAACCCAAGCTCTCATGCTTGTTTAGAATTACCTACTTTTTCAGAAGTGGATCACCAGACCTTTCTTCTGAGGTGCCTCTAGTAGACTCAAACCTCTAACTTTTCTGTTACCAGCTGAGCACGTTGACGCACCCATCTGTACCACCTGGGACCTAGAATCGCCTTAGAAAACACCTTATTTTTAAAATGCTAGCCTCTCATCTAATGAGGCATTGTTGTTGTTGTTGTTGTTAAGTGCTGTTGAGTCGGTTCCGATCCATAGCGACCCTGTATAGGGTTTCCAAAGAGCAGCTGGTGAGCTTGAACCGCTGACCTTGCAGTTCAAACGTCTAACGAGGCATAAAGGCTGTGAAATTGGATCAAACCTGAGAAAGTGAAGCTGGTCAAGGAAAAAAAACAAAGGAAAATGTGTAAACCCACTCAGTTCACAAGCCAACATCAGTGGAGGAGGCAGCAGAGAACTCCCAAACTGTCCCTCCCTCTGCTTCAACCACCTCTGCACCTCTTCTCTGTCTTACTCCTTCCCTGTCACGTTTCAGTCTTGTGCTCCTGCACTGGGAGGACACTTTTCAGATGCCTCCAGACGGCGGTACAGCATTTCCTGCTCTCTATCTCTGTGCCCCTCTGTTCTGTCCTGTCACATTTCATGAATCTGCTCCCTGCCAAGTATGACACAGCCGCCAGGGTTGGGTTGTTGTTGTTGTTGTTTTCCCCTCTTTGCTAGCATAGTAATCTTGGAAAATAGGATACCTTATAATTGTGCTTTTTTGTTTAATTTGGGGCCTTGTGGTTTGAGCCCAGGCCTCTGGGGCCACGGCCTCAGAGGAGACACATGTGAAATTGGTTTTAAAAATGCTCATACCACGGAGGCGTGAGGAAGACTTGAGGAGCAGGCAGTGGTGGGACGCAGCTGGAGGAATCAGGTCACAGGGTGTTGGCAACTTCATGAGTAAGCAATGACTCTGGTCCTAAGGTGGTGGTGGTGGTTATTGTTATGTGCTGTGGAGTCAGTTCCAACTCATAGCGACCCTATACGGGGTTTCCAAGGCTGTAAATCTTTACAGGAGTAGAAAGCCTCCTCTTTCTCCTGCGGAACAGCTGGTAGTTTCTAACTGCTAACCCTGAGGAAAGCAGCCCGATTCGTAACCACTACGCTACCAGAGTACAAAAAGGTTAATTGGCAGAGATTCAAGGATAACTTCAGTAGGTAAACACACATCTATCCTCAGGTGAGGGCAGAGATGGAGAAGGGAGGAAGAAAAAGGAAGGCATCAGGGTAGGGAGCTGGAAATGGCTGTCCAAGGCCAAAGAGTAGCCTGAGGGGTATGAGCCAGGAGGACTCCCTCCCTCCCGTGGAGGAGACATGAGGAAGAGGCTCTTGTGCACCCTTCCTTCTTTCCTCTCTTCAAGTTTGTGTGTACTCACATAGACAAGACAGAAGAACACTAAGGGCACACACCCAAATCCAGACACCTATGAGCCCACTAAACGGATTGCTTGTCAGTCTTCTGCTCTTTCTGTATATTTTATAATATAGCTCAGCTCATGCTGTCGCTGCAATTCGATACCGGGTTGTTTTTTCTCAGAGTTAACATGCACAGTTGTATGCTTTTTAAAACCTTTGGGCCTGGCTGCCTAGCCACTTGTTTGCTCAAAGGCGTGGCTGTGGGGCAGACAGTCTAGGCTGGACACCCAGAGTCCCGCCCCTTGTACTAGCCAGGTGATCTCGCCTAGTCTCAGTGATTTCATCTGCAGTATGGGCATAAAACTATTGCTACCTCATGAAGTCCTGTGGATTAACTCTGTGCTCACTCTAGGCTGCTTAATCCTCATAGTGCCCAGAAAGGGAGGTAGATAGGAAGAGGCACCCCCTTACAGATGAGAAGATACGACTAGGGGAGATCAAGTACCCAGCGTCCACAGCAAATCATCTGCAGTCTGATTTTGAAGCCTTCCCTCTTATGCATGGTACTATCCTGCTTACCAGAGCAATCTGGCTGAATCAGCCAGCTAGTGAAGAGCAGAACAGAAACATTGTCTAATCCAGAGCCTAAATACAACCATGCTCCCAGAGCTAGTTCCTCTGAGGGCCTGAGATTCTCTCTGGGCCCTGGGACTCCATCAGGTCCAGATAGGTCTGGACTGGTGATGCTCAGCCCTTTCTGTTGGCTTCAGCAGTAAGGCCACGGTAGTACGCTTAGAGAGTGCAGAGGAGACTCAGTAACAAGCCTGATGATGCCCAGAGAGGGGCAGAGGAGTGCCAGTAGTGAGAGGAATCATACGCTCAGACCCTCCCTGTGCATTTGGCTATAATTATTGCGATGTGGCTCGTGACTTTCCCCTTGAACTTGGCCCCACTTGTCTTGGCCTGGCAGCAGCTCGACACTAACACCCTAACTGGTTTCTCCAACCACAGCCCGACCATCTCACAGTCAGTCTTTGGTGAGCAGGAGATGCCCAGCTCCTCTGCAGTTTGTGCAGGGATAAATGCTATTGGTTGCAGCATTGCTCCATTGGCTGCAGAATGACAGGGCATCCAAGAAAAACAAATAGCTGCTGATATGGGGGGGGTGGGGTGAGGAGAAATCCATTCCATCTCATTACTCATGACAGTGAGACTGGGTTAGGGGTGGGGGTGGGGGGACCACAAAGGGCCTGCAAGCTGCAGGGCAATAAGGAGCAGAAGACTTGGCACTCAACTTAGCCTCAGTGGGCCCTCTACCAGGGTTGTTGGTGCCCGTTCCCCATGCAGAACATATTTGATTTCGTGTCGTACCAGTGACACTTTCTGCAGCATGTTGGGTTATTCAGCAGATGAAATCTTAATTGCAAATGCCGTTTCAGCGGAGGAGTGCCATTGTGCTTGCTGGTGTCAGGCCATTTTTGCTGAGGCGTGCTTTTCCAGAAGGCTGTTACAAATTTAGAAAGAGGGAAATGGTGTTTCATTTGCTGATCGGAATTGTGTTTTGCAGACTGAATTTATTTTAGTGTTTGTTCAAAGGTGCCAAAAACTGACATCCCTGGAGAGTGAGTTGCTCAATTTTTTGGCGAGGTTTTCTGGGTTGTCCAAACTGCATCGAGAAAACAATGTCTGTGATCCTTATGTCAGAGGCCAGGGTTGCCAACAATCTCACACGTGCTAATTTTGATTCATTTTTCAGAGACCCAAGAAGCCGCCTCCTCCATCAGCTCCTGTCATCAAACAAGGGGCAGGTAATGTACCTTTCAGTTCCATCAACTCAACTGTGCCTCTTTCTCTTTGCATATGTTCAGATCACCTCTGGGAAAGCAAAAGATTCCTGGATGGCCAAATTGGGAAACAATGATTTGGTCTAAGCCTCCAGGTTTTGAATATGCTGTTGTTTTTCCTGAAAAATAAAATGTGTCCATGATACTGTGAAAATATCTTGATTGTTGTTGCATTTGAGAGTGTTGTGTGTAGGGTCACTATGTGTTGGAACCAACTGGACAGCACCTAACAACAACAACAAAGAGAATGGTCAGAAGGAGGGCTTAATTGTCCTATTTTCTTCCCATGGGTCATGGTGTCACTGGGCATGTATGCAAAACCAAACCGAAACCCATTGCCACCAAATCGATTCTGACTCAGAGTGAGCCTATAGGACAGAGTAGATCTGCTCCTTAGGGTTTCCCAGACTGTAAATCTTTACAGGAGCAGACAGCCTCACCTTTCTCATAGAGTGGCTGGTGGTTTTGAACCACCAATCTTGAGGTGAGTAGCCCAGTGTTTCCCAACAGCACCACCAGGGCTCCTTGGGACATGTATAAAGTTGCTGAATTTCCCATGCGCTCTGCATAATAAACCAAAATATGCGCTTACTTGACTTTTTTTCTTCTACCAGTAAATACTTTCCCCCATGATTTTCTTTTTGTCTTGAGAAGTGTTCAATTCCCTTTTTCTGCATAGTTCACATATCTGGGTTGAATAATATGGGTAGAATTGCTGTTGGACTATTGGACAAACTCATCTCATACTAGATTCTCATGCATAAACATGGTCATTCATATTTAGCACTAGAATTCCTCTTTCTAGTTGTTCAAATTCACTATGGAGAGAAGTTCCTCCATGAATAACTATTTCAGTGGCTTTGTGAAAAATTAGCAACTAAATTAGAAGAAGAGTAAAGGTGTTTTCAGTTGTCCACATTCACAGTTATTCTATTTTTTATATCATTTAAAGTGTGAATAAATTTCCACATTGGTTTGGTGAGAGATTTATTAAGGAGTGATTTAATTCTTTTAAAAGTTTTTTTAACCCACCAAGTTGGGAGGGGGGGTAATCAACTTAAACCCAAATTCCTGTCCCATTTTCTTTGACATAGCTGAGAATTACCTAGAGTAAGGCCTGAAAAAAGGATGTTAACTACATCTGCTCCACCCCCACCCTCATTGTGTAGTTGAATTTTGCCACCTGGTGGTTCTGGCAGTATAAATATTTTATTGTGCTGAAATTAAAGCTGGCTTTGTATTTGCTTTTCTTTGAAGACCCTTTCTCCCTAGAGTTCTTGGTAACCCATAAGAGACTAAGGAGAGAAACTCAGTGGTTCAAAATTCAAGTAGCCTAGAGTGGAACTCAGGTTGTGTTCTTAATATGAGGATTGTCAGTTTCTGCTGTGCCTGTAGGTATAGTGAACTTCTTCACTTTCTCATCAGGAGTCTAGATTGTATGATAATAGGCAAATTCTTATCCTTTTAAAACAAGTTAAGTTTATGTTGGGTCTCTGTGGGTAGGGCAAGGCATGACTCTTCCTAGGTGATTGCTACTGCTCATTTATCCTGAAGAATGATCCTGGAAATTGCTCGGTGATGGGAGGTTGGACTTAATCTTTTCTCCTCTTCAACTTTCTTTATTTTCAATGATTTGATTTTTTTAATTTATTGTAACCACACCACATATGTGGAGTTGATAAAAAAAAAAAAAATCAATACAGAGTTTACTTGTGGTGAGTCATTAAGAGGACTTAGGTGAAGTGTATATTCCAAGCACCCATCTTTGGAACTGGTTATGTAAAGAGTTTGCCAAGCATTTAAACAAGTCCATAAATAAGAGCAGTGTTTCAGATTTGTTTGGTGCAGCTGCTGTCCACTTGGGTAAAGATGAAATGCTAGTTGGCACATTTAGAAATGCAATACTTGAGGGAATCAGAAACAGACAGGAAGGACGTTGGCAGAACCAACATATTTCTGTGCAGATTCCTCAACTTAAAAGTGGGTGCTGGTTATTCTTGTAGCATAACAAATTACCCCAAATTTAGTGGCAGAAAGCAACAATCAAAAGTTCACGGATTCTGTGTGTCATGAATTTGGGGTACAACCAGGATGAGTTAGTTGTCTGCTCTCTGAGGATGCGGACCTCTGCTGGAAATGTTGGATCAGCTGAGGCTGGAGGGATCCACTTCTTTGCTCACCTGTATTGGCAAGGACAGCTGGAATACTTGACTCGGCTAGGGCTGTTGGCTGGAGTGCCTCCACATGGTCTCTCCAGCACGGCAGCTCAGGGTAGTTGGGCTTTTACATGCCAGTTTGGTATTCCAGCAAGCGAAGCATAGGCAGCTGCTTGGTTGAGGCACTCACAAGTTATCCCACCTTCCAGGCAAGGGAATGTAGACTTCATCTCTAATGGGAGGCATATCAAACAATTGGAGCCCCTTGGTGTTGCAGATCGTTAACACACTCAGCTGCTAAGAAGAAGGTTGGAAGTTTGAGTCTATCCAGTCACCTTGCAAGGAAGGCCTGGTGGTGTATTTCTGAAAAAGCAGCCATTGTAAACCCTATGGAGCAGTTCTACTCTGATACATATGAAGTCATCATGAGTCAACTCCACTGCAACAGATTGGTTAATAAATCATTGTTGTTGTTAAGTGCCATCAAGTCGGTTCTGACTCATAGGAATTCTGTATAGGGTTTCCAAGGAGTGGCTGGTAAGTTTGAACTGCCAACTGTGTAATTTAAACTGACCTTGTAGTCCAATGCTTTATCCCACAGCACCACACCAGGACTACAACAAATTATTTGGGACCATATTTTAAAACTACTATAAAATGGAATCCAGGTCCCTATGAAATCCCTTTTATTAATTGCACGTGATACCCAGTGACCTCATTTTTGTATATTTTTATATTTGCCTTCTCTATATACTTTGGGTTAATGCAGTGGACTGCAAAGTCAGTTTGAACTGCAAGGTTGTTGTCAATAACAACAACCCATTGTTTTCCTGTGACTATTGGATACCTAAGGAAGTTAAGCTTAAACATCTGCAAGTATTACTGCTTTTCTTGTAAATTATGGATGCATAGACAAGAAGATGTAGGAAATTGGCTATAAATGGCTTCTGCTCTGTGTTAAGCTCCTGTTTGCTAAATAACACCAGAACTCGGTTTTCTTTTTGTGAGGTGCCATCAAGTCAGTTCTTACTCACATGACCTATGTATCACAGAATGAAACATTGCCCAGTCCTGTTCCATTCTCACAATCTTTGCCGCGTTTGAGCCCACTGTTGCAACCACTGTGTCAGTCCATCTCTTTGAGGACCTTCTTCTTTTTCACTGACCCTCTATCAAGCATGACGTCCTTTTCCAGGAACTGTTCCCTCCTAATAACATGTCCAAAGTACATGAGACAAAATCTCACCATTCTTGCCTCTAAGGAGCATTCTGGCTGTACTTCTTCCAATACGGATTTGTTCATTCTTCTAGCAATTCGTGGTATATTCTGTATTCTTTGCCAGTAATAGGCATCAATTCTTCTACGTTCTTTCTTCTTCGTTGTCCAGCTTTTGCATACATATGAGGCAACTGAAAATATGGATTGGATCAGGCATGCATCTTAGTCCTCAAAGTGACATCTCTGCTTTTTAGCACTTTAAAAAGGTCCTTTGCAGTAGATGTTCACAGAACAATATGTCATTTGATTTCTCGATTACTACTTTTATGGGTATTGATTGCAGATTCAAGTAAAATGAAATCCTGGCAACTTCAATATTTTCTTCATTTATCATGATGTTGTGAGGATTTTAATTTTCTTTATGTTGAGGTGTATTCCATACTGAAAGTTGTAGTCTTTGATTTTCATCAATAAATGCTTCAATGTCTTCACTTTCAGCAAGCAAGGCTGTGTCATCTGCATATTGCAGGTGGTTAATGAATCTGTCTCCAGTCCTGATGCAGCATTCTTCCTCATGTAGTCAGATTATTTACTCAGCATATAGATTGAATAAATGTGAGTGAGGCTTTAAAAATTCCTGGAAAAGTGGAATTAAAAGATAATGGAATTTTTCTATAGACTTTTTGAAGCCCCCTCATATGGTGAAAGGATACAACCCTGATACACACCTTTCCTGATTATAAAGCTTACAGTATCCAAATCCCCTTGTTCTCTTCTAAGTGCAGGTTTCTTATAAGCACAATTAAGTATTCTGGAATCTCCATTCTTCACAGTGTTATCCATAATTTGTTATGATCCACACAATCAAATGCCTTTGCACAATCAATAAAACACAGGTAGATATCTTTCTGGTATTCCCTATTTTCAGCAAAGTCCATTTGACATCAGCAGTGATAACCCTTATTCCACATCTTCTGAATCTGTCTTGAATTTCTGGCAGTTCCCTATCCATGTACTGTAGCAACCAGCTTTTTGAGTTTTCTTTGACAAAAGTTTACTTGAGTGTGATATTAATAATATTGTTTGATAATTTCCACATCCTGTTGGATCACTTTTTTTTGCAGTGGGCACATAAATGGATGTCTTCTAGTTAATTGGTCAGGTGGTTTTCTTCCAAACTTCTTGGCATAGATTAGTGAGTGCTTCCAGTACATCCATTTGTTGAAACATTTCCTGGAGCCTTGTTTTTTTGGTTTTTTGGGGGGTGTTTTTTCACCAATGCCTTCAGTGCAGCTTGGATTTCTTCCTTCAGTGTCATTGGTTCTTGATCATATGCTACCATCTGAAGTCATTGAACATCGGCCCTTTCTATTTGGTACAGTGACTCTGTGTATGCCTTCCATCTTCTTTTGATACTTTCTGTGTTGTTTAGTATCTTGTCCATAAAATCCTTCAATATTTCAAGTTATGGCTTGAATTATTTCTTCAGTTCTTTCAGCTTGAGAAATGCTAAGTGTGTTAATCCCTTTTGGTTTTCTAACTGAGGTCTTTACACATTTCATTGTGATACTTTACTTTGTCTCTTGGAG